TTAAGGGTCAGAGGTTGCACATGCTTGAGATTACAGCCTCTCTGTATCTTGTTATTAGGAAAACAAAGCCCATCACTTCTCGTCTATCCTTAGTTTAGGTTCATTTTGAGTCTTCTGAAGACTGTGGGCTGCTTCTAAGTATCCCATCGCAGTTGAAATATCCTGTGGATTCCTCGGCCAACTTTTTTTTCCCTCTCCGCTGCATTCTGTGGTTTGGCATTCTCCTGAAAACATTCCATCTGTGGGGGCTGGACCGGGATAGACCGATCCCTCTAGTGAGAAAAAAAAATAAAAAATACGTGGAGGGAAATAGAAAAATCCTGTTAGCTCCTGCTGCAGCTTCCACTATGATGAATGGGAATGCTAATGGTCAGGCCAGCTGACAGTCTTGCCTGGGCCCGGGACAAGATAATCTTAGCTGGGGCCCCCCCACGATTTTTTATTTATTTATAAAACACCATATACTTTTACCCAAAATGAATAATAAAAACACGTTTAAATGGGTACATTTTCTATAAATGTCTTCATTTTCTTTTCTGACATAGCCTACTGCAGTTCTTGTTAAAACACACTAGACATGCATAATCTGTGCATTTTGGGCACTTGACCACTATTTCAAGGACAATTAGGAAGAAAACGAATAAAAAGCTTTTATGTAACTCAAATATTAGATATTTTTGCAACAAATATGCCTATTTTATTAAAAAAAATTTTACAATTAGGCCTATTCCATAATTTTCTGTTCTGGGCCCCCCTCCCTACCCTGGGCCCGGGACAACAGACCCGTTTGTCCCCCCCTGTCGGCGGGCCTGCTAATGGATACTCTTTCAGAAAAAAGGTACAAAAGCAGTCACTGGGGTGTTTCGCTTTCAAAGGGTACTAATATGTACCATTTAGGTACTAATATGCACCCTTTAGGGGTAAATAAGGTACAAAGGTATATATTTAGATAGTGTACAACCACCGTCACAGCTTTTGTACCTTTTCTTTTGGTGGGTTAGGTGCTCATGTCCAGCCAGTCGTATAACAGCAGGAGTGCTTGTCTCTACCATACAACTTGGTAGAAATGGTTTCAAATTTTAGCTGTAGAAACAAACCCATTTGGCCGTCTTGTCCTGCACAGCATGCTTTTCTCCACTGTGGTGTGTTCTTTTAGAGTCTTTGGCCTGAGGCTGACCGATAGCTATGTGAGTTATCAGTCTGAAGCTCTACCCTCAGGCCATGGACTTGTATCAGTAGTTCTTGAGCACAGCTGTCTGTCATACTGTCAGGACTGTGTGTGTTCTGTGCGGTCAGTCTTGGGGGAAGTGCAAATGCTGGCATCAGCGATAAAAGTTTATACTAACGTGAAATAAAAGTGCTAAGGCCTCAGGTATAAAAATCACCCCACTAGCAGCTTGCAGATGTTCATTTTGTTTCCATTATGGTGTGATCACATTTACCGTTGTTTGGCAAATTTTCGTGTGGAATCTAGTCAGTAGGAATCCATGTGATCTGGATTGTTGTGTGAGGGCAAGAATTTTCCCATCAGGTTCCGTTGATTATGCGAATTCGCTGTATTGAGCAACGGACATCTGCTTGGTTTGAAAGGGAAATTGACAATAGACAGTAGTTGAATTTAATCTAATGCCCTACTGTGCTAACTTAGTCAAGAGTAGTTTAGATAAGTTACAGCTGTGGCTTAGTGGTTACTGCACAGTGCACATGCTCCAGATGTTTCAGTCAATGGCCATGTTTTTAATTTGTAATGCCTGATTCTGTAGTAGTCTGGTGATGGTTTCACTCTGAAAATCAACATTGATACGGAGCATCTCTGAAATAAAGTTTCATCACCTGGAACAAGAAGGGATCCATCTCCAGCGGTGGGCCGGTGTGGTAAAGCAGGACGCCTCTTTGCGTTTTTGAATGTAATTTCTGCAGGAAATGTCAATCCCAGTGCCTTTAGGGTGGAACGATTTGCTTGAAGTGTAGGAGTGGAGATTAGAGACAGAACAAGACGTAGGACAAACCTTTCCACCAGGAAGGATGTGTGATGTGGCTTGATATGGAGTGGAAAGAAAAGACGTCAATTGCACAAGATGCTATCAGTGTGTGTGTGAGAGAAATCCAAACCACTGCATACTCTGATAAATGGCTTGTTGATATTGCTATCGATCTGATATTTGTGTCTGATCGGGATCTGCTCTAATTTATGGGCCTGTTGGAGGCGTTCAGACTTTTTAATATGATATCATCATATCAGACATGTGCAAAGCATGCAGGGCTGATGATAACTTCATTATATTACAGCGGTTCCTGTAACATTAATTGTTTAGGTCGTTCACTACACTATGGAGGCTTGTTTGCAATTTGTTCTCATGTCTATCACTGAATATCTGCCTCTTTTCACCTGTCTCGACCATGTGCCTGATTGTTTTAGGTTTCTTTAGCGCACCTGCCACTTTTATGTTAAAGTAAAGGATCAAACTGAAGATTTAAGATGTTAGATCCCTGCTTTGTCCTGTCAAAGGTTTTATTCCTCTTCGTTTTGAGTTAAAGGCTGGCTGATGCTTCATATTGATTTTTTTTTGTCTTGCTCTTTAGAAGGGATTTCACAAGCACTGCATGAATCTGGTCTCATTCTGAAAGATGTTTCATATTAAGTCTTTCAAAAAGTCAAAATAACAGAGTTAAACAGGTCTGCTTATTAGATGAATTTCATTCTGTTTTTTTTTTACACATTTATTTGAATGTTTTTGCTTTTTCACAGAACAAACGGAACAACAACAATGAACAAAAATAATATATATATTAAAAAAACCTATGACAAAATAACTGAATATTTTGAGGGACACACATATACAAAGACAAATCATTTGACAGTTAATACTTAAGCTGAATGCAAATTCCTTAATATTGTGGAGTCATAATACTACGAATATAAACTAAAATAATATCTGTACTGCCATTGTGACTCATAATAATAACAATTATAGTAGATATAATACAAAAAGAGAAATAAAGTGCGTTATCTTGGCTATTGTCAGCCGTCTAATAATAATTTAGGCACAATATTAAATACATTATTAATGAATACAGATTACACTCAATTACCAATAACTGTTAATAGCATTAACAGAAGTCATTGCCTATTTAATTCTATTTTAATTTAATTTTTGGAAAATACAATTTGATTTACAATTCTGCATCCTGTTTTCTACCTCAGTTTTCAACTCAAAGCATGTAGTTGTAAACGGGTCAGAGGAATTTTTTTAATCTATTTATTTTTTATATTTGTTTTTTAATTTTATTATTTTTGTTTACATTTATTTATTTATTTTACCTTTATTTATATCTTTACATTTATTTATTCATTCATTTATTTATTATTTGTATGTTTTATCTTTTTTAATCATTTTACATTTATTATTTTTTACATATTAATTTGTAAGTACATTAAACATTTTTCTTTGTCCCTACCTCTCTCCCTTCTGTCTTTTTCTCTCACTCTTTATTTTCCACACACACACACACACACACACACACACACACACACACACACACACACACACACACACACACACACACACACACACACACACACACACACACACACACACACACACACACAGAGATAACAGCAGCCAGAGGAGACGAATGAATTATGTAGTCCTGTCTCTGTAGTGCCATCAGAAAATATTGAGAATATTAAGTCAATGTAAAGTAATACAGCCATCTCTTTCTGTATATGTGTGTATAATTCAAAGCTTCTTACTGTTGACCATGATTCACTTTTTTCATTAGACTATGCTTTATTTTGTGTGTGTGCCAAAAGCAGGAGTTTTCTTGAAAGCTTGTATGTATGTACATTGGTTTATCGTGCTTAAAAGGAAATGAACAGTGCATCTTCTGCCTCACATCACAAGTTCATGGAGGAGCACTTGTTGCTGTATGCAGACAAAAACATGTATAAAATATGAATAGTATTATTCATATTCATACCTGCCTAAATCAAACCACCCTCTGTCTTGTTACATCATACTGCCTATTTTTGGCTGTAACGGTTTCCTACAGTGTTAAAGAAAAGGGCACAGTAACCAGTGATTTATTCTTAAATTCATGCCCTCTGGCCTTCCCAGTTCCCAAACGCCTTCAGTTACCTTCTCCTTGTTCCAGCGTAGCTCTTGTAAACTGCTTATTTTGTCCTCTCTGAGATAGACGGATAGCATGTGTCCCTGTCCTTTGGGACTTGTGGTTCAGAGTGGCCTGTGTTTACTCCGGGTCTCTAGAGAGCTGCTCCAGGTGGAAGTAATAGCCGTCTGTCTTTAGAGCCCGAAAACTCACTCCAACCCCCAGAGATTCAGTGTCCCGAGTAGATCCTTACAGCTGATGTAGTGTTTGCCTAGTCGTACAAGGTCAAAGAGAATTATTAATATGAGTATCCTAGCCTGCCATGCCATGGTTGTCTAAATAAAGGCATTTATTTAGACAATAATAAAGATTATTTTGATCAATTAATTATGTTTGTTTCTATTTGTTTATGATTTGTTTTTATTTGCTTTATTTTGATTAATCAATTTATTTTTGTTTCTATTTATTTCTTCATTATTTATGTTTTATTTTTGTTTGTTTTTTATTTATCTGCTTTTATTTTTATTTGTTTATGTATTTATTTGTTTTTTTTTAAGTTTTGGTAACTATTATTTTACAGTGTCGCTCTTACACATTTACTTACTAGAGCCATAACAGTAAATTATGCATAATTACAAACAACTAACCCTAAACCAAACCCTAATTGTATAGGAAGTACATGTTGTTAATTACTATTACTCAGTATTATTTGTATAATTACACTGTAACAAGGGCACCTTAAAATAAAGTTTTATTAAATTGACAGGCCTAATATATTGTGTTAAAATGTGTTTTTTTAGATATCGCATACCAAATATAGCCAGAATTGTAGTATTGCTAGTATGTTATTTACACAAACTTTATCTCTTCTTCATTTGTTTAATCTTCAGCATTTCCAGATGACCATCCAAGCCCTCCAGGATGAGCTGCGGATCCAGAGGGATCTGAACCAGCTGTTCCAGCAGGACTCCAGCGTTGGTCCCGGCGAGCCCCTGAGCGCTGAGCTGACCGAGGAGAACTTCCAGCGGCTGCACGGCGAGCACGAGCGGCAGGCCAAGGAACTCTTCCTCCTGAGGAAGACTCTGGAGGAGATGGAGCTGCGCATCGACACGCAGAAGCAGACGCTCTGCGCCCGAGACGAGTCCATCAAGAAGCTCCTGGAGATGCTGCAGAGCAAAGGGCTGTCGGCCAAGGCCAGCGAGGAGGACCACGAGCGCACGCGGAGGCTGGCCGATGCCGAGATGCATATCCACCACCTGGAAAGCCTTCTGGAGCAGAGGGAGAAGGACACGGTCTTGCTGAGGGAGGTGAGAGAGAGTGCTGGGAAACCATCTTACAGCACTAATGCAACCTTTAGTCAACCAAACACAAAACTGCTTGACCTATTTCACCTAGTACCTTCCGAACATGTGGATTGAATAACAGTAAATGCACACATTAAACAGCTGCTCTGGGGAAGATGCTTGGTCATTTTTTTCCACAGATGATGATGATGATGATGATGATTCGCAAATGTTTTTGCTTGCACTCACAATTATGGTGATGATGAATCAAGGGCTCTAGATTAGTCATTTTAAACTGTGCCGGGCGAGCAAGCTTACCGAGAGGGAGTGAGAGAGGGAAACCTGTTACAAATTGAAGGCATTGAACATTTGTTGCCATAGAAACGGGTGAGACTGACAAGAACATTGATGAAAGGAGACACAGATGTTGCTGAGTGCAGAAACTGTTAATGTGGTGGAAGACGCGTTCATCACATTTAGTTTAGTAGTTCATCTTGAGGAAGGATCTGATTGATATTTATTCAAGTTCAACAAATTTCTCAAGTCAGATCTGTTGCATAATAGAGCTGTTCAGTTTATGATCCTTAACATGAAAGAGAATTAGCTTTTGGGTCAAGGGTTCCCTTGGGAATTTCCAATGGGCTTTTAGCTTAGTGGTTTTTGATTTATGAGTAAAATAAGAGACATTGGTGTTATGTTGACGGAAATGCAATCATACCGTAAAGGTTGCGAGTTGGACTGAGAAGGATGTGAGTTTATGTGCTTGATGAATCGGGCAACCGTCTTTTTCCTGTATGCATCCTTTCATCTTTTCATCTCAGAATGAGATTCAATGCTGTCCGGAGACTGTTATAGTGGTTTAGGTAGTTTTGAAAGGAGTTCTGTCTGGTACTCACTCTGTATTTCTGTCAGGCATCTTCTGAGACGCCCATTAGTGACTTTGGCAACAGTGACACCTAGTGGCCAGTTAATGAAATGGCACCATCAACTCTTACTATGGCTGCGTCCAAAAGCTTAGGCAGCTGACATGTTTTCTCCCGCCCTTATCAGGCAGTGACTTTATAGGCAGCGTTTGCGCTCAAAGGTACCTCACGAAAATGACGAAAAGAAAACCTTGTCGATCACACTGTAAGTTAGCAGAACTCAAACACTTCGAGGTGGTCAGTTACATCAACATTTTTAAGTTAAAAATTTCAGTTTAAGCAAAACTGCCAGAATTTTATTTTGTACTTGTATATTAATTGCTCTTAACTTGAAATATTTTAGTAAGCTAACTCATACGTTTAACTTAAAATGATCATGTAATCTCAAGTTCTCAACTTTAATATTTCTAGTAGTTGAAACTTATATATTTCAGTAAAAGGCGCAAACATGCTAATTGGTTACACAATGCTTTGATTAGCATGGCAAGTGCTGAATGAGTAAGGCAATATAGGGCATTTAACATAGATCTGTTCTCAAACTAAGCTCATGCTCCACTTGTTACCATGATGTAACCCCCCCCAAAAACCCCAAATAACAGAAACTCTTCTAAATTAACATCAAAACACATTGAGAGTTTGAGAGTTTGTGTTCTGTATGTCTGCTCAGCGCACCTGCTCCTCTTCCTGACGCCACGTGATGCTGCAAATGTTGATGTCACATGAAGAAAGTTCCAGAAGCCTTTTGAACACTTTGATCTTTGAAACTTTGCAGATTTTAAATTACATTCACAGACAGCTATGCTACACACTGCATGAAAGGTATAGTATTCGGAAAATAATAGAGGCACTTTAAAAAAGAGGTTGATGTATTAAAGGCTTATTTACATACAGAACTCTTAAAGGTACAGTGGCAAAAACAGCCTGTTTAATTCAGAGAGACAGTGAAAAGGGATCATGTAAAACTAAATCACACTTTCAATTATTTTCTCTTCAAATATCTTTAATGTAATTAAAATTCAAACCTAAATTAAATAAAAAAAATTTTGCAGCAGCAGCAGTCAAAACATCCTTGAATAGATGGTAATGTTGTCAGATATGAGTGTTGTGCAACAGCAGCTCTCAACAATTAAATTCCCTGAAGCGTTGCTCTGCTTTCCATAAGCTTTCTACATCTCTCTCTCTCTCTCTCTCTCTCTCTCTCTCTCTCTCTCTCTCTCTCTCTCTCTCTCTCTCTCTCTCTCTCTCTCTCTCTCTCTCTCTCTCTCTCTCTCTCTCTCTTCATGTGCATTCACATTTGAAGGCTTTGGTGTCCATATTTTGTGTTTGAATGATGATTTTGAGGTCTTTGATTGCCCGGAGGGTGCAGGCTCTTTGTGTTTAGTGGATGTTGCATTCACTCTATTTGTCGGTTGCTCGGTACATTATCTTTTTCATAAAGGATTCAGTCATGCAAAAACACTCAAACCAGTGTCTCTCCTGCCTCAGAATCGAGTAGAGCGACATCAGTGTGCTGAGTTTGTAATTTGGCTGTCTAATATCAGAAGTCAGGGTTGTTTTATTATCATTTTTTGCTGGATATAATGTGGGGTGGTATGGATCCTCATCAGCTGATGGCTGGCGCTAGAGGAGGCCGTTATTATCCTGTGGTTTCACCTCACGATCCTCGTCTCATGTTTTCTTCTCAGGATCTCCATAGACGGTATGAGGGAGCTCCAGAGTCTGCCAAAACCAAGGCCTTGCAGACTGTCATCGAGATGAAGGCAAGTGTGTGTGTGTGTGTTGTGAGTAAATCCCAAACTTTAGTGTTCTTTCTAAAACAGATAATTATAGTAATAATATTATTATTAATAAAACCTACTCATATTCCTGAACTGTCGTGTTGTGTCAGTAATTTTACACTACTTTTCATTAATTTGGGGTTTATTTAGATTGTTTTATTCAACAAGGGCACATCAAATTGATCAAAAGTGACAGTTAAGACATTTTATAATGTCATAAAAGATCTCTGTTTTAAATAAATGCTGTTCTTTTGAACTTTCTATTAATCCTGAAAAAAAAGCATAACAGTTTCCACAAAAATATTAAGCAGCACAGCTGTTTTAAACATTGATAATAATAAGAAATGTTTCTTGAGCAGCAACTCAGCATATTCGAATGATTTCTGAAGGATCCCGTGACACAAAATTCAGCTTTGCAATCACTTAACTAAATGACATTTTAAAATATATTAAAATAGAAAAGTTATTTTAAATTGTCATAATATTTCACAATATTGTGGTTTACTGTAGCCAATCAAATGCATTTATTTAAAAATCCTACTGACTGGATTTGTCTGGTTTATAAGTAGACACATTTTTCCCTATAAAATTATATTTTAACATGTTTTAAAGCTGAGATTTGTAGAGATGCACAGTATACCTATACCATATCAGTTATCGGCTGTTTTTAACATTATTTTACATGTAACACCCAATTGAAATCTTTAAAAGTACTTATTTAATAACACTGTTAAAAAGTAATTTTTAGGTTTATGAGAAAGTGTTTGGAAAACCTCTTTGAAAATGATGTTGTAATTTTGTTTGGTAACGCTAGTTTCTTAAATGGTACATTAGATTTCAGGATTGATTCAAGTTTTAAACAAGCAACTAGCACCTTGGGTAGGACACTGAAAGTGTTGCACCTTGTCCTCAAACATCTCTCTGATCTCTGCAGGACTCTAAGATCAGTTCTCTGGAGCGCAGTCTGAGGGATCTGGAGGACGAGATACAGATGCTCAAGTCAAACGGTGCTCTCAGCACAGGGGAGAGAGAGGAGGAGATGAAACAGATGGAGGTCTACCGCAGTCACTCCAAGTTCATGAAGAATAAGGTAGAACCTGTGGCTCATGGGCATTACAACTGTTGTGTTACGGTGCTTTTTTAACCTGTGCAGGTCGTGTGTTATTTGACCACAGATTTAGGTTGATGTTGAATTGTAGCAGGCGTCTTGTGGTGCTGTAATATGATATGGTGTGCATCACAACTAGCTAAATAAGCATAACATTGTCTACATTTTCATTTTATCTGGTCAAAGTTGTCTTGATAACTTCTTCATTAGTTAGTTATTGTCATTACTAACACTTTTTTTTTATTTTTTATAAAAAAATATATTATTAATTGTATGTATAATATTGTTCCTAAGGAAATGGTTTACCTTTTAAACATATCCTTTTTAATGACATTTAATTGCAGCTAAACCGCATGGCCTGTGCGGTGAATGCTGATTGGTTTAGTAACGCTGACGGCATCACGTGAACGTGGGTGGTGTTTGATTGGCCGCGGGGCGTGCATGCGAGCTGGTGGATGGTGATTGGTGGTTGTTGCAGTAACAGCGCCCTCTCCTGACAGGTAGAGCAACTGAAGGACGAGCTGGCGCAGAGGGAAGCGCAGGGCGAGGAGCTGAGAAAGCGGGCGGCTGAGCTGCAGCAAGAGGTCTCTTCCGTAAGACACCCAGAGAACCGGCTTAGATCTCGCACAGCTCTGCTTCCCTCACCAGAGACAACGTCTCGCCCACCCAGACATCAGATAGGGTTCTGGTTCACACTGATCGACCGGCTGGCCCTTTTGCTTAGGGCGTTTTTTTTTTTTTTTTTCTGCAAGAGATTCAGTGTATTATCTCTGATCTACGGAAGCCCTGAGTTGTTGGATTTTTTTAAAAGTTAATGTCATACATTATTTATGCTGCCTTCTCGGAGTAAATGGGTGAAAAAAAAAAAAAATCCCAGTGTAAAAAAATAAAGCGCCCCCAATGGTCGAAGTTGATACTGTTGTATAGTGATAGTATAAGTATTAATAAAAGAATAAAATAGATGTAAAAATATAATCTTCAGACATATTCTTGGGATGCATGATATTTTTTCACTATTGGTGTTGGATTTTTTTTTTATATACTAGAAACATAATATTCTATTTTTTTCTAAACAGAAATCCATGTTCTGTAAATTAAAATATATATCACTCAGTAATTTTAGTACTTTTGTTCAACTTAAATCTATTTATTTCAGTTAGTTGCCAAGGTAATATTTCTTTAATTTTCTTTTAATTTTTTATGTCATATTTATATATTTTTTAATTTCAGCTTTATTTCGTTTACCATAAACATTTTCTAATAGTTTTAGTTTTACAGTAAAATCAGTGCATTGCCATCTCCCCAGTGTTCTGATTAGTGGTCAATCACTACTATCCACCTCAGTCTTGATTTCCATTCTAAATTCAACTTGAACAGAACACGATATTCCACTGACTAAAGAACTCATGGGGAAAGTGCTTTTGGACACAAAGACAAACAGTAGCATTACAGTATGATCAGGGTGGGCGAAGGAGGGAACGATGGAAAAGGTCCAGGGCAGTGAAGGGAACTGTTAAAAAATATTAGCTTTTGCGTCTCGACTCGTTTTCAGTGGCCGACTGGCCGCCTGTGGTCATAATAGCCGGATCAGTGGGCGGCAGTGGTTCAGGCCGATGGGTACATTTGAAAGTCCCAAGGTTTCTCTGATCAGGAAAGCAGAGTCGCCCAGTGCTGTGCTGAGAGTTCGGATGCCACTCTAGACTCCCACGATACTTTTCACCCGTTTCTCTTTCTTCTCCTCTCCCTCTTGTTTGTAGCGCTGGTTGGAGTAGAGCTGAGAGCACTAATGTCCACGAGGCTTGAGTCTGTCTCTCTCTCTATCACTCTGAATTGTCTCTCTCTCCATCTCCCGTGTCTGCGCACGCCTTTTTCACTAGGGTGACTGGCAGCCAGTAGAGTCACAGCTTTAAGCCATGCTAACCTGCTATAGCTGCCCCAGTGCATGCTGGGAATGCCAAGACTGTGATGTTTGTCTTTTTCTTTGCAGATGAACACTTGTTGTCTGTTTTACAGTGTCTTAACTCTTTGTTTACTGTCTGTGTGTAAAAATGGATTTAAATTTGTACCTAATTCAAGTGTTTACGTATCTTGCAAGCATGAACATGAGTGTTTTGTGGATGATTTAAGATGATTTAAGCTCAATACATCAAGTGCTTCTCTTCACAGGAATTTCTATTTGCTATAATTACAAAATTCCACTTTTGTTGTCCCATCAGACCTGAGACTACAGGTTTCATCCTGTTTTGCTGCGTTTGCATCTGATGAAGGTGTTTTAGGGGACATGTGTTTCACCAGAGCTTTGAGGTCTGGCTTGAAGGAGTTTTCTGGAGAGTTTTCCACACATTCAGACTGACTGTTTGTCTTGCACAGATTGACCAGGTGAAGCAGGATCTGTCCCGGAAGGACACTGAACTCTTGGGCCTGCAGACTAAATTGGAGACGCTCACCAATCAGTTTTCTGACAGCAAACAGCACGTCGATGTACTCAAAGAGTCTCTCACTGCCAAAGAACAGCGTGCTGCCATCCTACAGACTGAGGTAAGAGTTACGCAATCAATAGTATAGCTGGATAAAAGTAAAATAGAATTTACAAAGATGGGAAGTTGACTTTCAAGAAAAAAGTTTTATTGGAAAATGATGCCATACTGAGATTTATTTATATATATATATATATATATATATATATATATATATATATATATATACTGTATATATATATATGTATGTGTATATATATATATATATTCTACCCTTTTTGACTTTTGAATGAATGAATGAATGAGACATTTATATAGCGCTTTCATATGTACTACTGTACACCCAAAGCGCTTTACAATCATATCAGGGGTTCTCTCCTCAACCAGCACCATCTTTTGCTTCCAAGATCAATATTCATTGCCACAGTTCTGACATAATCACATCTAGTTATCCAGCTAGATAACTATATTATCCTAACCAGGATAACTACCGTAAAGGATATCAGGATCAGGGGATTTTAAATGCTTTTACGTACACATTTGAATGTAAATTTCTATAGTCTTCAACTTTTTCTTCAACTTTTCTTGTCCTACTATTATGTTCGATTTCTTTGTGAGTTGCAACGAATTGGTGAAACGTGATCACAAAGTTATGGAATGCCAAAGCTGACTTAATTAAAAATAAATAAATGCATAAATAAATATACGAAGAAATGTAAAAAAGTACAAATAAATGAGTAGAGTATTTATACTTTTATTTCCTTATTTATGTATAATTGTATTTTTCACACATTTTTTTTGTTTTTATACATTTATTAATTTATTTATTTCCACTTTTATTTATTTCCACATTCATTTATGTATATATGTTTTTATCTCTACATTTATTTATTTTCACATTTATTTATTTCTACATATATTTATTTCCACATTTATTTATTTCTACATATATTTATTTCTACATTTCTTTGTCCGTATGCTAATGAGGGGGGCGTGTTTTACCTCAGACATCAGCAATCGAGCTCAGAGTGGCAGTGCTGAAGCTTTGAGGCCACAGTTACACCTTGTGGTGTGTGACCAAACGAAACGCAAGAGGTGTGCGGACAATATCACATTTTAAGTCATGTATATATCACCCTAACTGTATGTAGGGTAGGCTATATAGGGTTAACACACATAGCACACATGAACAGAAACTGCACTTCAACGGGTCTGATAGCAGACACTTGGACATGGAAGCGCATGAAAGTATCCACTATTAATAACAATGTAAACGCGGTGGATAGGGCTGATAAGAGCTTGCGTTTACTGTCGATGATGAGACTCGCACATCAGCGCAGAACGTGGAGAGAAACCAGCGCACATTTCACTGAGTCCTACGCAAGCATATTGATCAATGAGTTTGAAACGCGACTCAATACACGGTTTACATTCGCGTTTCATAATTTCGTATGCATAACAGGTGACAATTCAAATGCTTAGAGAAGTAGCTCCGGCTACAATGTTCTTCCGCAAGACACGTGCAGTTTATTTATTGACGAATGTAGACGTCACGCGCATTGCACACTGATGGTGAAACGCGCCAATTACGAATTCACGTATAAAAATGATAAAAATGGTCTCACGAAACACAGAGCCCCTTCCTCCTACGTCTTTTCAGCGGTTATATTTTCCTCTGTCGAGCGATTACTCTCATGATCGCTCGACAGAGGAAAAGGAAATTATTATAAAATGCAGAAGGAGTGTGAGATTTCTGCTTTTTGTTACAACTATAAACTTTGATAACGAAAAATCTGTATCAGTTTATTATAATACTCTAATCTTTTAAAATGTAATGCATACATTTGAATGTTTAATGATTTTTAAAAGATAGAAAGATGATAATAGACAGATAGATAGATAGATAGATAGAAAGAAAAAAAGGTGCGACCAAATCATATGCTGGTGCGACCAACTGAGAAAGTTGGTAGCACCAGTGCAACCAGTGGAAAAGTTAGTCTGGAGCCCTGGATTTATCACATAATTGTAATACAATAATATGATAAAATACTTTTTATGAACATAGAAAAGCTTTTTAAAATCCCCCTTGAAGTAATTCAAGTTGTTTACATGCTGAGAATACATATTATTTACTAACTTTATAAAAAATAATAATAATAATAATAAATGTTTCTTGTCTTTTTTTGTTGGGAAAAACATTCTTTACTGCAGTTTCCCTGCCTGCCCATCAGGGGGCACTGTTGTATCAAACATGTTATTGGGCTGTTGTGAAGTTGCTGGGGCATGAATGGCTTCTTTGTGTGTGCTTTTAATTCTGTACTTAGTCTATCATCACACCTTTTATCATAATCCAGTGTTACCAGTGCCAGCATGTGATTCATGGAGTTTAGCTGACGGTTAATGTGCCCTGACTGGCCAAGTATTAGTGTGTTCCTGCACATCGTCATGAATAACAGTACTTTAATGTACTGTGCATTAAGAGTCAGTCCATGCATCTGTATGAATTTTGTGCCTGTGTGCATTTCAGGTCGATGCTCTACGTCTACGTCTGGAAGAGAAGGAGACCACGCTTAATAAAAAGAGCAAGCAGATTCAGGAAATGTCCGAGGAGAAGGGAACGCTCAACGGAGAAATTCACGACCTCAAAGACATGCTTGACGTCAAGGAACGCAAGGTCAACGTGCTGCAGAAAAAGGTAAAGGCCGTGGCAGAGCAGTTCTTACATCAAAACAGTGTTTCACTTAAAATTCAGGTTCGATGGTTTCATGCTTTTGGAAGCAAATAAAGCTTTGTGTTCGACACAAACCTTTTCAAGGATCCCAGCAGAACCATTGCGGTAGCGTATGCATCCGTAAACATCGACGCGCCCTTCAAACGCATGTCATTTCCTCCCCCTGAACATAGATGGCACTGTTAGGCCACGTTTAATGAGCTCTGGCGAAATGCACGAAACCAGCCTCACCAAATATCCCTCTGTGTAAATTTCTGATTTCTAAAAGTAGGGAAAAGTTGTGTTTGTGATGGCGACGGAGTCTCCTGTTCTCAGAAATGACACACACAGGCCGTTAACCTCAGGCTAACAGCGGGCGCCAGGGTTTATATGTCTGTTCTGCATCTTTCATATCCATGCAACAGCTGTTTGCTTCTACCTCAAATGCACGTTGGATATACAGGAAGCCGTAGCTTTCGCCGTTCCCGCCGACATCGCTTTTCATCGTCAGTATTTAGGGTGCAAGCTTTGAACTTCATTCCACAATATACAAGCTTTGACAGAAATCGGCACACAAGTCAAAGCTATCACTGACATGTTTCAAGCTTGTCGTGCCGTGCTCTTTGCGTCTGTCAGAGGATGTTTCCATGGTGACCCATGAGGCAATGCTTCGCAGTCACATCCGACTATCAGTTTCAGTTCTTCTGCGCTGAGATCATAGGCTGTACAAACAAGCCCCCCGTCCGCTGCCTCATTAATCTTGACTTAGGGATAGTCTGAGTGCACGAAACCCACAGTGAGCTCACCTTTATTGGGAAAACAGGAAGTTGTGCATCTCTCTAATGGACATTCCAGGGATAATGTTGCAAATCATTCTCCTAAAATCGCTGTAACTTGTGTCATATGTTATTTTACGATTAAGTTTCACAAAGAAGCACATGGATCATTTGCTATAAAGTAGAACTGAAGTATGTTTGCTTAAATAGCTAATAGCTGTACCCCTTTGAATTGCACTCATAGTTTACAGGAAGTGGCTTTTGACTGATAATAGCAATCCTGGAAGACCTTTTAAGGTTGTAATTTTTTTTGTTCGTTTCTAATTCAGACTTAAGGGTATCGCTTTAATGGCAAATGCTTGCTTTTTTCCAAGTTTCTTTCTTAATTATTGTTATATTCGTAATCCAATGTCCAAATTTGTGAATGTCGTCAATAGTTTTTTTTGTGTACTTCCATGTTCTATTAACCCTTTAAATGCATGAATGTTTCACTAGTCGTTATTACATATTTGTGTCTTTAGCGACCCGGATCTATATCTAACACAGAAAGATCTCTACCTATAATATAAAACTCTCCTGATATTAGAGTAACAGTTACAGAAGAATAAAATAAAGCATATTTTGTTACCTTTTGGAGCTTGGAAGGGTTCAGTTTAAGTAGATGTTTTATATAATCATCACTGTCATCGTCAGAGCTCATTTCCCAGTGTCTTCAGCATCTGTTCGCCATCTCAAACATAATCTCAAAACTATCATTTTCGACATCTTCAAAATCAATATTTTGACCACTAACAGCTTCTTCTCTAGATCCACCATCTAGTAACAGTGTCACTAATATTGGATTGCGTTCAGTACTTGCTCTGCAGTAAATCGCTGAGCCATTTCAAGTTTTGCTGATGATACTTCCTATTCTTTTGTTTTCTGCCTGCGGTAACTATGAGTGAAACGTCACTTCTTCATTGTGTATCAGACATTGCCACCTTGTGGAATAAGGGTGAATTGCACTTATTCAGTCATCAAAGATTATTGTTGTGCAGAAAGAAATATGCTTACACTGTTACACACCTTGGGTCATTAGCGACACAATAACATTTTTACAAAAAATTTATGAGAAAACAGGCTTTTATTTTTATTGTTATATTGTTTATAAAGAATTGATTGTGGAATACTAAGAAGGTTGATGTCTAAGTTTAAAAAAATGAATGAGCAGTGGTGGTAGTGACTGACATTACGGGTCACTAAAGACATAAGGAATGCGTTAAAAGGCTCGAGAAAATTTTGGTTAAAATAAGAGAGCTCTTTTTACATCACTTATTAACAGGTTATAGTCATAAAGTCATGCTTGCGTACTTGCTGTTTTGGGAGAAAGACCGGGTTTTATGAGAGTGTCTCAAATATAAAGATCAGGCTCTTTCTTATCATTTTCTGATCTTTCTCGTAATAGTTTTTGTCTCTGTTTTGGCTGTTTTCATTCTCTCTTCGCCTCAACCGCTTTGCTTCTCCTCACAGTTTGAGTCTGAAAGCCTCTCAGAGTCATCGGGGGCACAATGAACTTCTTTTTTTTTTATTTTAAGCCAAGCGCTCTCCCAAGCCACAGAAAGAGAAACATTTAGTTTCCATTATAGTGCCTGATCCGTTCTGTATATCCCCAGAGTTGTTCCTAATGGCCATAACACATTGAGACAGTGCTATGAAGGTATGCATGGGGCTGCTCAACAGGACACCATTCAACGCACAGGTCAAACACCAGAAAACGGCAGACCGTACAGAGGAAGCAGTATTACACCCAGCTAGGAAAAACTAGCACATGCGTATCATTTCACATTTTTAGAAATCTTCTGTCCTGTTAAAGGGGACATTTCAAACGTGCCGCACACATCCTGAAAAGTGGTGGCTGGCTGATAAACCCTGCCCTCGTCATCTAAATGAATGGGATGTGATGTGATTACACTTCAAATAATTTTTTTCTGAAGATTTTTCTCTCATTTTAGGTAGTTCTTATCATGTTGACTTATGTTCAAGTGTTTGTTTTTCCAATAAGTTTGATTTTAGTAAGTAATTTGATGCTATAAAAATGGGGTGTAACATGATTGATAGCTGGCCTTTATTTATTTATTTATTTATTTTTACAGTGGAATTTGCAATTTTATTTGCAGTCTATGTGACATGTCATGGACAAAATCATTGCATAGTTTACATTTATAATGTTGTCTAAACTTCCTCAGTTCCTCAGGTTTGTAGTTGAAAACAGGTGATACAGAACTAATCATGATTTTGCCATCAGCTCATTAACATAAGACCGCCTACATTTACATAAAAATTACATTACCCGATGAATGATGAATGATGTGTGCACTGTCTAGCAAAGTGTTGGCCTTTCATAGCAGAGTTAATTTGCATGAATTCTGAATTCTGCGAGATTAAGTAGCAAAAAAAGCTGTGTCATGGATATGAAAGGTTAGTGAGAGTGGAAAATATAATGGAAAAAAATTCAATCATTGCCGGTTTTGATGTTAAAAACCTTTGCTATCATTACAAGCAGACTTTAGGGAAAAATAAAATGCTAAAAAGTGTCGAATATGTCCCCTAAAAAAGCCACACAGTTTAGTTTTATTCAAACAACACATAGCGCTGTTACATTTGTGGATACGAAAATGAGCTTTCCTAGACTGTGTGTGTCTGTGTATATAAGTGAGTAAATGAATAGATACACAATGTCCTGTGATGTATGCATTGCTTCTCAGAGGAGGCCTAGCCTGGGCTCGTTTCTTTTTTCTCGCACTCTCCTTTAATGTCTGAACATATTTTTTTTCTCCCTCTCGGAGCTGTTTGGCTTTGTAATTGTTTTCCCAGCGGCTCCGGTTCATGTGCGGCGCTCTCTGCCTTCTCAGTGGCACGGTTTGCCTGCGCGGATGTGAGCGAGTGCATGCTGGACGGAGCAAAACACCTCTTCCAGCGGCTGCCGAGAGTTTCGGGCCGCTCTTTTCTCTCTTTGTTTATATTCAGTGTTTTGTGTTTAACCGAGCACTTACCCTTTAACAGCCTGGAAAATAACGATAATTTAATTTGCAACTGTCAGATAAGGTGGCAGACAGATCCGCAGTGGAAGCGGCCGAACTAAATATTGAAAACAGCGGTTTGGATGGGAATTCTTTCGCAAGTTCACGGCAGGACAGGCTGCAGAAAATAACATTTGTTAATGCAAGGAGGGCGGAATACAAGACACAGTTCAGCAGAACTCGCTCAAGTATGTAAACTCGAGTCGAGCGTCTTGATGGAGAGCAGCTCTCTTTGGCATGAGAGGGTCGTCCGAGACACTTTGTCTTGTGGATGAACATGGGCAGCGCTAGGGGTGGGCTTCTGGGATGTTTTTTTGCCATAAAGTTTCCACGTCTGGAGATTTTTATCATTATTAAATCCATTTAGGATTGCAATTAATACAAAAATAGGCTTTAGACTATCGGCATATCACATCTTATTTTGAAACGAAATGAAATAATTGCTCATAAATCCTGGTCTGCAGACGATACCAAAGAAACCAAACCTGTTTGTTGACTTTGTGGTCAGAGTTTCGCTCCATTCGGATGTAATAAACACCCAATATTCAGCGTTGCTCAAGGAATTTGTTGGCAACCTTTGAAACACAATCCAGGACATCGAGGTTCTTGCAAAACACTTTTATTAAGAAACATGAAACATGTCATGAACCTCACAAACTTTTCTCAGCAACTGTGTTTCTCCTAGAAGAAGCATTCAGCCCGCTAACATTTGAACACACGTGACACCTTGACGACATAAAACTGTCATCAAATTACAGTTTGCATTGGACTGCACTTTTTGGGCTTAAAGTATTAATTTCCTTTTTTTAAAGAAATGAATACTTTTATTCAGTAAGAATGCATTACATTGATCAAAGTGATTATTTTTAGCATTCAACCAAATCAGCATATTAGAATGATTTCTGAAGTATCATGTGACACTCAAGACTGGAATTAATGGCTGCAGAATATAGATTCTCTATAAAATATAGATAAATATATGGAAAAAGTATGATTTTAATATTTCACAATGTTACAGTTTTTAATGTAGATTTTTTTTTAAATCAAATAAATGCAGCCTTTATTTACTTTAAGCCTTTATATGCGTTATTATTGTATTTTTAATGCATTGTATGGTCTCATTAATAATTGTAACCACAGTTATAAAACA